GGCCCAGTGCGGGGTGGGGGAGTCCAAGTGACAGGATGGAGTTCTTTCTTTCTGTTTTTTATTTTGCTTTGTCAACACTGAGTGGAGCTGACAGACGAGAGGCCGCGCTCAGAGGCGGGGATTAACCTGGAGTGAGCGCGTGTGAGCGCGTGTGAGCCCGTGTGCGCTTTTCGTGTTGATGGGCTGCACATGGGCGGTGGGTCTGCGCCCGAGTCCTCTGGGATGCTGTGTGGGCATCTTGTGGTGTGTCCGTCAGATGTAACCAGGGAAACACGTGCCAAGGCCGGGTCCCCGGGCTAGGGCCGGAACCCAGGAGCAGGGTAACTCGACCGCTGGTCTTTGTGTCCCCGGGCTCCCACGGGTCCTCCGACAGACACCTAGTGCTTAGTAAAAGAGAGCGGGAAGGGGACGGGTTATTTTAAAAGCTTGAAGTGGAGTCTGGTTTGTAATGCAACAGGACATCCAGGTGGGCTTGCTGGCTACGAAAAGCGGAGGCTCCAGCCTGGCGGTGGAAGGGAGGGCAGGGCCCAGGAGGGAGGCAAGAAGCTCTGGGAGAAAGGGGGTTAGGTGAGGCAAAAGCAGTGGGAAGGGGTGGGCTGGGGGGGAAAGAGGAGCAGGAGAGGGAGAGGCCGGAGCTCCCCCCAGCCAGGAGGGGAGGGAGGGGCTCTAGAAGTCCAGCATCCAGCCCAGGCAGGAGATCCCCTGGGCAGGTGACACAGGCTGGAGCTGTTGAGCTGTCATTTCTCTGAGCGCCAACCACGTGTCAGGCACCCTGCAGGCAGCTTGGATTTTGTCATTGAAACACCTCAGGAGGACCCAAGAGGCAGAGGCTGCGATTGTCCCATTTCACAGACCGAGAAATAAGTCAAGTGTGTGAAGGTCATTGACCTTGCTCAAGGTTACGCATTTCCTAAACACCACAGCTTGTACTTGAGCCCCGCAGTCTGATCTCTGAACCCACTCCCCCAGGACCCACAGCTGCAGAATTTGAGGACAGTCAGCTGACACTTGGGTTACACGTTTGCTGTGAATGGAAGGGACTGGGTGTAGGAAACCAAAATGTCACGAGTGAGGGCCCTGGCCGGTTTGGCTCAGTGGTTACGGCGTCGGCCCGCACACTGAAAGGTCCCGGGTTCAGTTCCGGCCGAGGGCATGTACCTTGGCTGCAGGCTCAATCCGCACCCCCGGGGAGCCATGTGGGAGGCAACCTAATCAATGTGTCTCGCTCACATCGATGTTTCTCCCTCTCTCTCTCCCCCTTCCACCCTCTCTGAAAAGCGATGGAAAATATATCCTCTGGTGAGATTTTTAAAAAAGTGTGGATGCAACCAGTGGCCAAAGTTTCAAAACCGGCCTGTCTCGCTTTCATGATTATTTTTGTATTCTGCGCACGGTAAGGCCCTGTGCGCACTTTCTGCCGACTCTCACTCGCGGGGCGGTTGCCCCAAGGGCTCTGTCATTTGGGATCGTGTGTCATCTTTGCCGGGGCCCCAGCCGCGGGGTCCCAGCTGCTCTGGGCTGAGTGCCCTTCCCTGGGGGCGTCGCCTTCGTTTCCACCAGGCATCTGAAGACACTGAACTCGGGCGCTCTGGGCTCTCACGGTTCACGTAGAATCAGTTCAAACCCCGTCTTCGGAGAACAGGCCTGTGGACGTCGGCTGACGGTGGCGGCTTTTCCCGGATCAGCTCCCTTTCCCCCAGGTGGCATTTTTCCTTGCCTGCCCTTGTCCATGCAGGTCCTCTGTCCCCTTTTTGTTTCTCAACCCTGTTGAGTTCCCTCTTTCTTTAAAGCCTATCATTTAAAAGGATGTCTGTGGCAGCGTATTTAATTTTTGTAAGTTTTTTGTTGTAGGTGTCTCATCTGCTGTATTATTGAAAACAGAAATCCCTTACGTTCTCGTGTCTATTTTTCTTTTTTTAACTTTAAAAAAATAAGCCAAGTCTAACTTCCGTATAACAAAACGCACAGATCTTTTTGCGGTGGTTGTTAACCCGCACCCGAGAATATTTTTTGGGGGGTTGATTTTTGGAGAGAGAGTGGAAGTGGGGGGAGGGGGGAAGCATCGACGTGTTGAGACACGTCCACTGGTTGCCTCCGGCGCAGGCCCCGGCCGAGGCCGCGGAGCGACCCTGCAGCCCAGGCATGTGCCCTTGGTGGGGACTCAAACCCGAGACCCCTCGGTGCGCAGGCCAGCGCTCTAACCACTGAGCCACACCGGCCAGGGCAAACCGCACAGATGTCGAGGGTAGAGCTTGGTGAGTCTGCACGGCCGTGCGGGCCATCTCCGCCGCCCGGAGGTTCCCTGTGCCCTGCCAGCGCGCAGCCCCCGGCGGTACCCGGGTCTCACCCCTATCACCGCGGCTCCCTGCCACCTTTTCCTAACCCTGACCTAACGCAGGGGGGTGCTGTCCCCTCTGGGGTCAGGCTCCCTTCACCCAGCGCCGGGCGGTGACATTCCCCCGGGCGGTGAGCATGGCAGTTGATTCCTTTTTGTTGCCAACAGTGTTTCACCCGCGGCTGCGCCACAGCCGCTTTCACCGTCTCCTGTGGGGGGCGGGCCGTCTCCACGGGGCTGTTAGGACAGTGTCGGTGTGAACGTTTGCACACACGGCCTGGTGCCCACACGGCCGCATTTCTTGGCTGGCTGCTTGGGAATGGCGGGGCGACGGGCGGGCGTCAGCTGAACTCCGTGAGAAGCAGCCACACCCGGGCTCCTCCCCGCGCTCCTTTGAGCGCCTGGTGTGTCATGGTGGCGCTGGTGTGTCTCCCGGGAACCCGTCACTCACTGGGTTCACTCATTCCCTCTCTCACTCATTCCGCAAACAGCCACTGCCCGCCGTCGGTGGGGCTCTGGCGGTGGGCGGGCAGCCGTCCCGGGCGCAGCTCTGCCCCAGCTGTGTCCCCTGCCCTCACCTGCAGGCGGGTTCCCCGCCGCCCTTCACCGCCCCGCCTTCACCCTGGGCTCCGTCCCCGCCTTCCTGGGCGCCTTCTAGCAGATGCTCCAGCCTCCCGAGCGGCAGCTGAGGCTGGAAAGAGGGCCCTTGGCTCCTCCCCTCCCTTCCTTCATCCTGCCCCACTTCCCCCCCACAGCTGTCAGGCTGCTCCATGCGTCCATGTCTGTGGCCCTATTTTGTCCGTCGGTTTATTTTGTTCATTAGGTTCCCCATGAGTGGGATCACGCGGTACTTGTCCTCCTCTGCCGGGCTTATTTCACTCAGCACAGGGCTCTCCAGGCCCATCGCGCTGTCTCGGAAGGTAAGAGGTCCTCCTTCTTCACGGCTGCGTAGTGTTCCCCGGTGTGACTGCCCCACAGCTTTCTACCCATCATCTNTGACTGTCCCACAGCTTTCTACCCATCATCTCCTGACGGGCCCTGGGGCTGCTTCCAGATCTCAGCTGCTGTAAACTGCGGCGCTGTGAACATAGGGGTGCGTGTTCTTTGTGATTAGTCTTTCAGGCTTCTTAGGATATATTCCCAGAAGTGGGGTCACTGGGTCAAAAGGCAGCTCCATTTTTACCTTCCTGAGGAACCTCCACACTCTTTTCCACAGGGGCTGCCCCCGTCTGCATTCCCACCAGCAGGGCACCAGGTCCCCCTTTCCCCACACCCTCGCCAGCACCTGTAGTTCGTTGACTTGTTGATGGAGCCATTCTGACAGATGTGAGTGATACCTCACTGTGGTTTCAATTTGCATCTCTCATTATTAGCGACGTTGAGCGTTTTTTCATATGTCTCTTGGCCATCCGTGTGTTCTCTTTAGAGAGGTGTCTATTCAGGTCCTTCGCCCATTTTTTAATGGGGTTGTTTGTCCTCCTTTTGTTACGTTGTATAAGTTCTTTATATATTTGGGAAATTAACCCTTTATCGGATGTATCATTGGCAAATATGTTCTCCCACACAGTGGGCTCCCTTTTCATTTTATTGATGGTTTCTTTTGCTGTGCAGAAGCTTTTTAGTTTGATGTAGTCCCATTTATTTATTTCTCCTTTGTTTCTCTTGCCCTGGGAGATGTATCAGCAAATATATTGCTACGAGAGATGTCTGAGATTTTTATTGCCTTTGTTTTCTTCTAGGATTTTTATGGTTTCGCGACTTACATTTAAGTCTTTTATCCATTTCGAGTTTATTTTTGTGTGTGGTGTAAGTTGGTGGTCTAGTTTCATTTTTTTGCATGTACCTGTCCAGTCTTCCCAGCACCATTTATCAAAGAGACTGTCTTTACTCCATTGTATGCTCTTGTCTCCTTTGTTAAATATTAATTGGCCATAAAGGCGTGGGTTGATTTCTGGGCTCTCTGTTCTGTTCTGTTGATCTATATGCCTGTTCTTGTGCCAGCACCAGGCTGCTTCGATTACAGTGTCTTTGTAACATGACCTGATATCCAGTGTTGTGATCCCTCCAACTTTGTTCTTTGTTCTCAAGATGACTGTGGCCATTCAGGGTCCTTCTTGGTTCCATATAAATTTTTGGAATATTTGTTCTACATCCGTGAAATATGCCATTGGTGTTTTAATAAGAATTGCATTGAATCTTTGGATTGCTTTGGATAGCATGGACATTTTAATGATGTTAATTCTTCCCATCCATGAACATGGTATATGCTTCCCCTTATTTGTATCTGTCTCTATTTCTTTGTTTAATGTACTATAGTTTTCTGAGGACAGAACTTTTTAACTCCTTGGTTAAATTTATTCTTAGGTACCTTATTTTTTGTTGTTGTTGCAATAGTAAATGGGATTGTTTTCTTAGTTTCTCTTTCTGATAGTTCATTATTGATGTATAAAATGCCACCAATTTCTGAATATTAATTTAGTATTCTGCTAATGTGCTGAATTTTTTTTAGATATAGTCACTTTCTGTTGGAGTCTTTAGGGTTTTCTATGTATAATATCATATCATCTGCAAATAATGACAGTTTTACTTCATCATTATTATCACCACCATCATCACCATCACCACCATGTTTGGGGGATAAAAGCTGCTCCTAGAACTGTACCCCACGGCAGCCTCCATTTCTGTGCCTCAGGCCCTGCAACATCGGGAGGACGGTGGGCATAACCCCGGGCACACCACCACTGGGCCCCTAGCTCCTGGCTCTCCTCTTGGGAGCCTGCCATGCTCCATTGGTTTGAGCTTGGGAGTGTTTGGGGCTCCCCAAGGAGTGCACCCCTAACAGAAGCTCATGCTGCCAGCCCTGCCCACCTCTCATAGCTGACCTCGCTGAGTGATGTGTTACAAATCTCCCCGGTCCTGGGCCAGGGAAAGGACGGCCCTGTCCTGAGTCCCTGCTCTGTGCCTGGCAGTGAACGAGGCTGACTGTCGCTTCTCTCCAGGGTGCCTACGTGATGGGAGAGAGCAAAGAGTGTGGGGACCACGGGGCCTCCCAGATGCCCTAGCTCCTGGCACCAGCTTTGTTCCTCGCTGAGCCCTTGGCTCAGAGCAGGCAGCCAAGCTAATCCCATTCCAGGCTGGTGGCTGCCCCTGGCCTGGAGGGGGAAGGGAGCCACCTGGAAAGCTGGTTTGGAGTCCCCGTTAGTTGTGGATGGCATTGTGGTGCCACCAGGAGATTATCTACACCCACTGGTCCCCGGTGGCCAGCCCCAGCGCCCCTAAAGAAGGCAGCTGGCTATTAAGGAGATTCATGGGAAGGGGCGAGGCGGCGGGAAGGCTAATCACGCCGTCCTGATTGTAATTGTCCGAAGGTGCTGGCCTCCCTCGCGAACGCGCCGACCGTGGGCCGCCTCTGCGTCTCTGGCATGCCTTCTCCCTGCTGGGACCGTGCTGGGTAATGTTCTTTTGACATAACTATTTAAATTCACATCTCAGTCTTCCCCCAGAGGAGCCGGCGAGAGCGGAGCTGCATGGTCTAAGCCGGGAAAGGATTAGCTGGGGTGGGTGTTATTTTCCCTTCCCCTCAGTGACGGAGGGGGCTGCTCTAGAATCCCGCAATGTCAGGGTCCACTGCCGCATCCAGCTTACCCCTCCGTGTCCAGATGGGAAACTGAGGCCCATAGTGCCCTCAGCACGTGCCACAGAGCCCCCTTCCCCATTTCTCCCCTGACTAGACCCCAGGGCAGGAGTGAAGGAAAGGCCTGGAGCCGGGGTCTTTGTCCCTTTGCGGGGCAGGTGGGGCAACTTCCCTTCAAGCCCACATGCTGGCCATGCAGCCCCCCCCCCCC